TACTTAAATACTCCTCAGTACTTGTACTTAAATACTCCTCCGTACTTGTATTATAACATCCTTACAGTAGCAGCAGCTCATGAGGTGAGTCCAGCACAGATCCTCAGTTCACGCCTGGTTGTTTGGGAAGATGGTTCACTAGTGGAGTTAAAGCTGGACTGAACAGAAGTGTAACATGAGCTGAGATCCTCCATTGTTCTGTATTTGAAAGAGGGTTCAGTCTGCTCAACATCTGAGAACTAGAATGATGGAGACCCTAGGAAGGATGAACTCCTGATGAAAACACGTTGAATCCCATCATTGTTTTCCAGGCTGTGATGGAAAGTGTGTGTTTATCAGGACTGCTCTGGGCTCTTCTGTCCCTCTCTGCATGTGACATCACGTTTACGTCATGATGGCCTGGGGTGAGTGACTCCTCAGTCAATTTCAAAAAAGGATAGTAAATTTGGGTAGCGATGGCTGAGGGTCATCCATTTTATGTCTGGAGTTCTTAGCTGTCTTTGTGCTGTGCTCTTCTTCTGCAGATGGAGACTTTTCATATCTGTTGGTTGCTGCTCAGGAAGAAAAAAGCTGCTGGAAGTGGTTCAGCCTTGGTCTCCATCCTCTGTTGACTCAGACCAAACACTGAGAAATGTGCTCAGTCTACGAGTGGGCAAGGTGTTTTTTAATCCATATGCTGTTTGGACAAACTGCATCTTTAATTCACCTTTGGTATTTCAATGTGCTTTTTATTTTTACTTTTGTTTTCATGTTGGTTACAGTCACCGTGCAAACAAAGACAGAGGCGCAGCATAGTATCAACTTCAATCAAATATGGCATATCTCGACTTCTCNACTAATGATCAGATATATTCGTTTTTATATGCTTTTATCATAAACTCACTCACTTAACCTTTAGATCTCAAACTTTGCTTCGTAAAGTGATTTGCAAGATATTAAACATAGCAACTGTCAGTGCAATAAACGCTTTGTGCATCGTATCAACTAAAACATCACTCACAAAACTGAAGCAATGTCTCTGGAGACTAAGTCCGTAGCAGCTTTGAAATATGCAATTGCTATATCTTCACAAAATCAATAAGATAGGAATTTATGCAGGAAAGGAACTTTCACTAACACTCCTAACTCTTGTGTTCTTAGCATAAACAGTGCCTCAAGCTATTCTAATTCCACAGCGACGAAACCGAGGAAGGAAAAGTGCAAGAAATATCAGGAATAAGCAGATAGCATATGGCTAACATATGTTGTGATTGTTAAAGTGGCTAATCCTATTATTTCACAGAGGCAACACTTTCCATAACTGACTAACTGCATTTGCCAGCAACCTATCATCACCGCTTTCTACTTCTACTTGTCAGATATTTATTAGTTCAGAAACCTGCTGCACTAAATAAATTCTTATCTAACTCGTCCAACAATTGTGCCACTGGGTACACGCAGAAAAGTGACCAAATGCTGATGACCTCAATGAGGCAGTTTTACATGCTCGTTCAAGGTGCTGTATTGCAGGAAATCCTATCTTTCACAGAGAGAACGCAGCTTCTCCAACAAAGTGTTTGAACTTCTGGCCACTTTGCGGACGCTCAGATGACCTCTGAAGAATACACAACAAGAGAGACAAAACAAGAAGAAAGGAAGGTAAGATATCAAATTGTTTCAGAGCAGCTTACACTTTTGATGTCAGACCTTAAAGAGGCAGGGAAACCTTTTCATCCACAAACATTCAGTCTGGCTTTCAAAATGTCACCAGTTCTCTACTCGTGTTTGCCAAGAATGGCACTCAGTACGGTGCACACCTCTGCCAAGGCCTGACAGTCCCCTAATGAAACCATGTATAAATTCACTAGATCTAGTGTATTATTTAGATCTGCACAAATTGCACGCACTAATACTAATATCACACTAATATCATCT